CTGTTGTGGCTTCAATTTTAACCTCAACTGGGGGGAAAAAAACTCAGGGAGTTGAGAGAATAATTTTTTCATTAAAATAAAAATCGATCCATAATGAAAATAGACTTTGAATGGGAAAAGTTGAGTGCAAATGGAAGCTTTTAAAGATTCTTTTGACTGACAATAACCTGAAGACCCTCCAGGAACTTCAGCCCAGAATAATCAGATTAAATGGAAACTAATATACGATCCTGAAATTCATCCCATGCTGGTCTAAACTTGTAGCAGCTGGGTAATTTAGCCTACAGGTTTGTGCCTCATGCCCAGCAGTTCACACGGAATTGTTTGGCCAAACTTAATCTACTGGGAAGGAAAAACAGCTTTTCCCCTTAATATGTGTTAAAGTAAAGCCAGCTTCTCCCAGCAGCTGGAGCAGGGAATGTATATGGCTACAGGTATTTCCTACAGGAACTCCCAGACTGGAGTTTGGCTACTTTAAAATAAATAAGTCCAAATTATAAATGATCCAGGAATAAGGAAATCTCTGGTTTGGTGCATTGTAGCTACTGGTAGGGATAATGCCTGGTGATTCCTGCACCAGGACATGGCATGGGCACAAGGGTCAATAACTTCTATTCAGGAAAATGAAGTCAAAATTAAAACTGTTCATTTTTGATCCAAGAATGTCCCCTGAGCTGCCCCTGGCTGGGGTGGAACCTGAGCTGCCCAGGGTAGATATGGGGTGACCAGTCCCACCACATCTGTCCATCTCAGCACTGGGAACTTGTTGGACTTCACAGAGAAACAGTAGGAGGGACTGGGATTAGATCAGGCTCCAGATCAGGGGATGAGCAGGAAAACACAGCCAAGATAAGAACATCGTCCCAGGGGGGTTCAGCCCAACCCTGTGTTCCAGCTGGAGACAGTGTCAGGACCCTACTCCTCCCAGCCAGGTGCTTGGTGGCTGTCCCCATCCCCACTCCACAGACACCAGAAATGCAAAGTTTGGCAGGAGCAGCCCTTAGGGAGAATTATCCTTCCAATGGATTTATGGCACAGACTTGGGAACACCACCGCATTTTCCTTCCAGTGCATAGCTCAGGGATAAAAAAAAACCTCTCCAAGAAACCTTCTAGTCAACAGATAACACAATGTGGTTCCGATTTCCTCACTCCCTCAAAATAATTGTTTCTTTTCTGGTTTAAAATGTTGTCCCAGGGAAACGTTTCTAATTTAATCCCCCACGTGCACCTTCCTCGCCGCCTTTGAATGGGTATTATCTTCCAGGCAGTGCTCTGGAGCAGAGCAGAGATTTTTGATTTTGGGGGAGAAAAAAAGGGAAAAAAAAGCTTAACAAGCAGCAAACAGGAATGGGAATGCTGGTCTGGGATCCATTATCCCTGACCCAGAGGTTGGAAACCAAAAGAAATTAATTAAATTGGGGAGGGGGAGGCCAGCAGGGTTTGCTGCCAGTGTCCAGTCCGTGAGGGATGCCTGGGGGGTGTCTGTCACCCATCACCCACGCAGAGGGGCACCCTCACCCCATACCATTACTGAAGCTGCCACGGAGCACTCATGATGTCAGGGCTGCCCAGTTTGCTCCCATTAGAGCCGAAGGACACACAGGAGAGGACACAGGTTGGGGGCAGAGTCACATCTTAAAATCTGTTAAATCTCACAGCTTTCCATGGAGGATCTCAAGGCAGGGACCATGGCAGAGGGAAGGGTGCAGCCATGGAGATGGGACCCTCAAAAGGGCTTTTTGCTGTGGGCAGGAGCACGGCTGAATCTGAGGAGGTAGGGATGGATAGCACTGGTGGCAGGGGACAGCTTGGCATGAGCTCTCTGCCATGGCCACACTTGCATTGGGAAGGTAAAAAGTGCCAAAGTGCCTTTTCATGGGAAGGTCAGCAATCCTGTCAAACCAGAGAACACGGATGGCATGTGCTGCTCTTAGCCAACTCACCTGCTGAAAAAATCCTGCCCAAGGTCCCATGAGAAGCGAGACGAGGCCATGGGATGGGATCCAGCCGTGCTCTGTGCATCCCAGTCTGGAGTTCAATTTCATCCGTGGGAGAAGAAAATAAAGAAATACTTTAAGTAACATGTGGCAGTGCCTGAGCTGGCAGGGATGGGAGGTGCCTGGCGTGAAGCTGTGCCATTATCTCCCACGCCCATGGAGACACAGACCCCCATCTGTGAGCTCTGCTGGACCCTGATGGACACAGCCTCTGTCATCCCCAGCCCCTCAGTGGGGCAGCCAAGCCAGGAAAGATGATAATGGGAGTGGGATGCAGGATCACAGCCCTTGTCCCTCCCCATGGTAATAGGAACAAAATGTTCCCCCATTGTTTGCAGATGAGAGTTGGTTTCCAGCTATGGCAAATATTTAGGAAAACACAATGGAGTCAAAACTGTTATTTACAATTTGGAGCATCCTATACGTTGCTTCAAGCAATTAAACTATTTGTCTTGGTTTGGAAAAGAACTGGGAACATCGAGGACTTTCCCAGCTCCTGGCCAAGAGCATTAACGTCTTGCAGGAGCTCACTGCCAGCATGATTTTCCCAGGTGCCAGCTGCCAGCCTTGCATACTGGATCATCCCTGGCTAAGCCAGGCATGCCAGGATCTCAGAGAGCCTCACTGCTGCTCCTGGAGGACCTTGGACCCTTTAACTACCTCTGCTATCTCCCAGGGCCCTGCAGAGCCTCACTCCCTTTGGAACTTCTCAGGACTCCACAGGACCTTGGACCATCCCACATCCCAGGCATGAGGCCACCTGAGGGTTCTCCTGCTCCCACTGGTCATCCTCAACCAGACCCACTGGGGATGGAGCATCTTGGCAGGAAAATCAACCACAAACCACGAGGAAGCCCCATGCAAATGTGCCCTTGAACGCACCAGAGGAGAGGGAGGACCAGGACAAGGAACAGACATTTGGACACAGCACCAGATTCTCCCTCAAACTCAAATAAATGCCACAACACCCAGGACTCACCTTATTTCTCACCTGTCACCCTGTCTCCTGCTGTCCCAGGGCTGGGTGGTCCTTCTAGGATTCCTTCTTTTACCTCTTTTTAATACTTTTAGGAAAAATAAAGATCCAGTGAAGCTCCTGCTGGTTCTTCAAGAGCTTTTTTTGCTTACTCCCTTCCCAGACACACAGGCTCAGTGGTGCCTGTTTGTACACATGGTCAAAAAGTGGGAAGAAACATGGAAAATGGCATTTCTGTGCCTGCATCCACAGCCCACACTGCCCCATGCCAGTGCCAGAGTTACCTCCTGGTTCACTTTTCCCAGTTTAGATCCATTTTTCTTTCAAAACCGAATTTGACTGCTTTTGGCAGCAGGAGGGGATGGGCTCGGCCAGCTGAGCTCTGAGGGCAGGGGCACACATAGCCACTGCCTCTGTCTCCCACGGTGCCCACTGGTCCCCACCAGGCTGGTGGCCCCGGGGAGGGTGGCTCTGCTCAGCCCCAACCTGCTCAGAGTTTGGCATGCAGCAGCACTTCCCCTTGCATGTGGCTTGGGCTGGATTTGCCCTGAAAGGATGAAATCCTTACTGCAAGCTTTCTGCCCACTGCAATTCCACCCTGGAGGGGAAAGGTGAATATCACTGTAAAAACACAGAGGAAGAAACCTGAGAAGCCTCCTCCTGGGCTTCTCCCTGCCCTCCTCTGCTTGGGTGCATGACTGTGGTGCTGGTGGTGCTGGGCCATGCCTGCAGGATGCTTGGCTCCTCCTAGAGCAAACACCTCTGGCACCAACCTCCAGCAGGTCCCCAGACAGGCAGATTTCAGCCCTGGGAACATTGACAAACCCCCTCAGTTGTAAATTCCCAGGTTAAAGCAAACAGGAAGGTGCTGCCAGCACAGGTAACACAGGAGCTGTTTGAGGCTGGTGAGGCTGGCACAGACCGGGTGACTCCAGCTGCTGCTGGCGCATCGGCAGTGATGGGACACAGGATGGGGTGACCACACAGGGCTGTGCTTGTCCTTGGGGTGAGTCACAGCCCACACAGCAGCTCCAGCACGGAGCTATTTTGGGTTTCTCAGCAAACCTGTGGTTTCTGCAGGCAGCCGGGTACAGTAGGGGGTTGTGTGTTGCTTTGATCTTCTTTTCCCTGAAAAAACAACCACGTGCAGCAGAATGTGCTAAAAAGCCATTGGTTATGACAAACTGCCTGGCCAGATGCTGTTTCAGACATCATCCACGTTCCTGCTGTCACTCCCATCACTGAGATTTGGGTTCACCCAGCAAAATCCCACAAATCCCATGTGGTGGGACAATTTGGGATCATTTTAAACAGAGTGAGGGGAGACTCCAACACAAACAGAAGCTCAGGATGAGGTCCCAGGGTGCCCTCCCCAGTCTGGGGGCACTGCCCAGCCCATCTTCCAGGGCTGCCCCAGGGATGAACTGCAGGAGAGCTGGACCATGCCCAGTGGGCAGGATGTGTAGCTCAGCCCAGTTGTTAACCTGTGGTGAGATCAGATGTGATCAGGCCCTTCCCAAGGACGACTGTGGGCAGCATGAGGATAGCTGTGTTGGGTATAAAGTAAATTTGATGGCATGGGGATGGGATGGAGGAGCAGTGCCATGTGCCAGGCCAGCATCACCTCCACACGAGCTGGCTGCAGATGTCTGACCCCAGGGAAGAGATGCTTGCCAAAGCAGGAGACCACCCCAAAATCTCTTTTTGCACTTCTACGGCCATCCTACAACATAATGAGTCAGGGGACGCTACACCAACACCTACTCAAAAACCAATCACCTTTTTCCCAAATTTCTAGAGCTGACAATTTCTGAACAGAGCAGCCTGGCAAAAGAAATCAATCACTGAGATGAGAATAAACATATCACAACAGTAGGTGTACAGGTTTGCTGGGAATTTTCCATAAAATACGTGTAAACAAGGATATGTATAAAAATACAGAGAGAGGCAAGACACGTTTGGAAGGGAGCTGCCTGCTCTCCCTCATTCCCAGCTGGTCCCTCTTGTCCTTGCTGTCCTCCTCCATCAGTCCTGCATGGGGTATGGCCAATCCCTGTCTTCATAAAACTTCTTCAGGCCCTGGAGGTTGACAGGGGGGAAGTAGGGGCCGATCCTCTTCCGAATCCACCACCTGCCCTCGCTAGCATGTTTTCCACCAGGGAGGCTGAACTTGTACTTGAAATGTTCCCCGCGGATCCACCTGCAGAGAAACAAAGCACAGGTGCTCAGGGGATGGCACCGCTGCTGGGAGGAGGCAGAAGCCCCCTGGATTCTATTTATGCTCCCTTGGGTTAGGGTTTTCAAGTCTTTCTGTAGCTGGATGGAGAAATCAGCTTGAGGGCGCTCAGCCTGGCTGGCTCCACATTGCAGTGCTCCATCCATCCATCCTTGGGATGTCCATAGCTGGTGGCAGCAACACACCCATCCCTGCTGGAGCAAGGCATTGGGGAGCTCCCAGGCTCCTCTTGATGCTGTTTAGGAATGATGACATCAAAATATGCCTTGGGGATGATGCATGAGCAGTTTTAATATCCCCACCTCACAC